CCATGCATGAGGCACTGGGTTTGATCCTCAGCACCATATAGAAATAAAGGTATGTGATGGTTATTATTATCCAAAGTACATGTATGAAGACATGAATTGATGTGAATATACTATGTATACAACCAGAGATATGAAAAATTGTGCTCTCTGTATGTAATAAGAATTGTAATGCATTCCACTGTTATATATAAATTAAAAATAAGTAAATAAAGGTATTGTATCCAACTACAACTAAAACAAAATATTTAAAAAAAGAAAGAAGTTCAATATTAACTCCTACACTAATATCCTCTAAAAATCTAGAACTATCATTTGCCCCTACAATAAGGACTGACTTAATTTGAACACATACACAATAGAGACAAATGCCTTTGAGGGCCAAGTAAGTTTAAAATTTTATGTGACAAGGAACTGCAATTTAAAATTGCCTATAATGGTAAAGTTTTGTTATGTATATTTTACAAATTTTTAAAATCATTTGAAATTTGTCTCCAAATCCTGATTTTCCCTGAAAACACACACACACACACACACACACACACACACACACACGCACACACACGCCGATTTGACTACATTAAAGAACATGAATCCATTAAATTGAACATTTTTTAAAAAATACTTTTAGCTGGAGATGGACACGATACTTTATTTACATGTAGTGCTAAGGATGGAACCCAGTGCTAGGCAAGCACTATACCACTGAACCACAACTCCAGCACCTAAACTGAACATATTTAAATTTTAAGTAGTTGAAAACTTTTAGTGATGTGAATTAAAAGCTTTAAGGAAGGTGTTTATTGATATTTTCCATATCCAAGAAGGACATAGGCAAATGAAAAAAAAAAAACTGCAGCAAAGGAGATTTAGTTCTGACATAATTCTAACTAGAAAAGTAATTAAATTCTATAATAAGATATCACACAGATCTATACCCTTAGTAATACAATAGGATAACTACCTTGAAAGGGTTAGATGCAACTTGTAGGAAAAATTCTAATAAATTGGGGTAGGGGTTGTGGCTCAGTGGCAGAGTGCTTGCCTAGCACATGTGAGGCACTGGGTTTGATTCTCAGCACCACATAAAAAAATATACAAAGGTGTTGTGTCCATCTACAACTATAAAATAGTTTTAAAAAATTCAAGGGGCTGGGGTTGTGGCTCAGTGATAGAGCACTTGCCTAGCATGTGTGAGGCCCTGGGTTCAATTCTCAGCACCGGATATAAATAAATGAATAAAATAGAGTTTCATCAACATCTAAAAAAATATTTTTAAAAAATTCGAATAAACTATAGAGAGTCTCTATAAAGCCGGCTTCCAGTTTTAGAATTCCGGGTTCTTTATCCCAAGCCCACAGTGTCTGCAAGAAATTTTACCTATAAAAAGTTACACTAAGGGCTGTGGCTGGGGCTCAGGGGTAGTGCACTTGCCTGGCATGTGTGAGGCACTGGGTTCGATTCTCAGCACTACATATAAATAAATAAAGGTCTATCAACAACTAAAAAATATATGTTAAAAAAAAAGTTATACTAATCTACAAGTCATTTCAGTTTGGCTTTTGTATATCACTGTTAGTCTGCCCCACACATCTACTGCCTTGGGAACTGAAAATTGACCATCTCTATTATGAAACAGTTGCACCAATTTCCAGCAATATCACTGGCCTCAAAATATAAACACTACAAATGAAAAGAATACTTGGTTCTAAATTAAACAAATAGAAATACCTACACGACTTTGTCAACCTTAGCCAATGATTTTTGTGTTAACAGGGAAGATAATTTACAGATCCAAAGCATTCAATTTTTTCAAAAATGACAAAAAAATAATTTTTACTCTTGGGGAAAAAAGAGCATAATCTTTCAAATTTGAGCTCCATTTTGGAAGACTCCTGTTCATTTTAAAACAATGATCTTGGACTGGGGTTGTAACTCAGTGGTAGCATGTTTGCCTGATACAAGTGAGACACTGGTTTCAATCCTCAGCACCACATAAAAATAAATAGACAAGCAAAGGTATTGTGTCTGTCTACAACTAAAAAAAAATAAAAAGTAATTTAAAAAATGATCTTTAACAGTGATCAGACAAGTGAATAATTATTTATAACCCAAAAACCGGCATTTATAAAGTCACAGGGAAGTTAATCATCACCAATTCAACAGGTAACCACTACAGCACAGCAAGCTGAGTGATTCTTCCCAACCTGTATTAGGGCTATCTGGACAGTTGTTAGACATTAAATGACGCATTCAAGCAACACAATTCTAGGCTCCAGATATTTACTTCAGTAGCACATACACATATTTTGATCAAGTATGCATGCATATCTGTATTATAATGGGTGTTTGTTTAAACAAATCTGTCAAGATGAATTTACAAAAGTCAACACAGGAATAAAAGTATAATACTGGGGCTGGGATTGTGGCTCAGCTGTAGAGCACTCGTCTAGCACATGTGAGGCCTTGGGTTCAATCCTCAGCACCACATAAAAATAAATAAACAAAATAACGGTATTGTGTCCAACTACTTCTAAAAAATAAATATTCAAAAAAATTTTTTTTAAGTATAATACTGGATTATGGAGCTAACAAGCTCTCCTAAGAAAGAAAACAAAGACAGCCTTCCTAATTTCATAAAGAACATTCTTTCTACAGCCAAAAACTAAGGTAATGTGGCTCAAAGTTGAATTATCTCTTCATTGCCTGGATTCCTAAAAGGCCACTGACTTCCAACTGCTTTCAAATCGGAACACAGAATGAGAGGATTTACCTCAGTGTTAGACTACTTGCCTAGAATGCTTAAGGCCCTGGGTTGGATACCCAGCAATGCCAAAAAATAACACTAAGAAAACATTTTTTAATGGCTCACACCTTACTTCAGAAAGGTATCTTTGTGTTTACACAGAGACAAATGTCATCAATATACACATGACTTCAAGTCTTTGAGCTTAATCTTTTTTTATTTAAAGACTCAAAAGAATTTTTACAGCCCAACTGTTTTTATTTTTCTTTTCCATACCACGGCCTTACCTATCTCCTCACTTTTCACAACACCTAAAAACAATCATATATTAAATATACACACCTCAAGCACATAAAATTCATTACACTAGTTTTGTAGCTATAATAATTGTACTAACAAACACTTTAAAGAACTAAAAACTTATTAGGGCAGCATTTAGATGGTTCAATTCACCAGGGGGGTGGGGAGATAAATCAATCCTTCCCTACTCAACAGGCAGCTACAGTATGCCAAGTTTTCTATACTAAACTAGTGTAACAAGGAAGAAAGTATGATTTTACTTCTAAATTTCACCAGAGTAATAGCTCTTCTCAGTGTGTTCAATAACCCTAACAATCTCTACTTAAACATTATAGGTTGGATGTCAGAAATCTATAGTAAACTACATTCCCTACCTGAGATCATCTGGCCATAAAAGACATAAATAGAGATGACAAATACTTATTTATTTAATTCTAAAGCCTATCTCCTGAATTCATTGGAAGCCTCAAAGAGTTTTCTAAACATCAAGAAACTCAGTCCCACTCTTGCTATGGCTGGCTTTAAACAATGATAAAATAACAGAACCCACTGAAGATGCAAGAAAATAAAAATTTACACATCACCTTTGGTTTGGCCACAGCTAGAAAGGATCCCATTTACAAATGAGCATCATCCAGAGTAGGTGAGGAGTGGGATAAAAACCATCGTTCAGCCCTCTTTTCTGGCACTGACTGAGGCATTCGTTGGAAGTGAAAATAAAGGGGAGTTTGGTTGTGCAAGTGAAGCCAAGAGAAACAAGATTCCACATGTCAGGAGACTGAATGCCCCACACAGAGCAAAGGGCACTCACCCCGTTGCTTTTGGCCCAAAGAAAGATTAGTTGCTTCACCTGAAAGCCTCTCAAAGGAAGTCTAATTGTGTCCACTCCCTCCCTCACCCTGAGTGAACTCAACAACCCCTACTCACAGAACAGGGGGGAAGCTTTGCTTATCAAAAATAGCAAGTGCTGCTTCCAAAGCCAAGAAACACTCCTTTACTGAGATAGTCTTCTGCCCCAATTCAGTCTTCTACAACCTAACTACAAGCCAAAAATACTTGGTTCCCAGCCTACCTAAACTTCTCCATTTTCTCAAAGGTCTATCAACCCCGCTTTCTTTCAAATAAGCTCTTCTCCACTCTCCGTATTCTGGAGGCCTTTCTCAAAATTCCCTTTGCGCAGGGCTCCAGTTCCTTCAGAAAGTTCCTTCTCCCAGGATCATCTCCTTTCTCCCACTTTTCCTAAGGTTCTGCCCAGATGCCGTCCCGGGTTTAACACTCCGGGCTCCTCTATTTGTAGATTCACTACCAGATCCCACTCTTCCCTGACACAACTCTTCGGAAAGTCATCTCTCCCACCAAAATAATTTATTTCCCCAAAATATTTTTTCCCTTCTCTCTCCTCGGATAGAGACAGACCTACATACAATTATCTATTCTCAACTCCTAACTCCCAACTCTCTTCCGTCTCCCAGGTTCGTCCACAATATTTAACAAGCCTCCCTAGAGTTTCCCCCCTAATTCTCGGCCTCAGCCCCTAACTTCAACTACAGTCTTTTATCCCACTTTCCAGATCCAGATTTTCTGTGCTTTTTACTCTCAGCCAGCACCACAAGCCTTCCCTCCCAGGGCTACCCACTTATGCGTCTATGGCCAAACCTTTTTCCCTCTTCCACCTTCCTCGGGCCCTAATTCTCCGCAGAACCTAGTGAACAACCCACCCCGCGCCATCTCCTCGGCCTCCCCGCAGCCTCCGTGGCCCCTAACTCTCCTTTAGCTCCGCTCACCCCCTAATTTCACCCCATGCCCCCCGGGGCTCCCCGACTCGCTCTCCCCGCCCGGAGAAAGAGGTCCACCTCACTGCTCGCCCGGCCCGCCCTGCCGCCAGGCTCGAGTGTCCCTTCCCTTCCCTCGGGGCCCCGAGGCCGCTGCCAGCGATGGCGCGGCGGGGCCGGCTCACCAGTTGGTCATGTCCAGGAAGAAGGCGCAGCCGGCCGGGTTGAGCTGGAAGCCAAGCAGCCGCTGGAACTCGGAGATGAGCACGTCCTTGTCGGTGGTGCCCAAACAGCTGAACTTCTGCATCAGCTCCGGGTCCAGATCCACGTCCATGCCCTCCATGGCGGGGGCCGGACACCCGCTTCCCCGCCTCCTCACTACCGAGCAGCCGCCGCGCCGCCAGGCCCGGGAACCGGGAGGGGGCCCGTTGCTAGCCGGCGCCGCGACCCCGCTCCTCTGAGGTAGGCCCCGGGCCTCTCACCGCCTCATAGGGGTAAACTCACTCAGCCACTCACACTCCGGCTCCCCCCCCTCCCACCCCCCCCAACGCCGCCACCTCCGCCGCTACCGCCTCTCGCTTCTCCGCCGCCTCCGCCTCCTCCCGCGCCGCGCCCACTGCGCACGCGCCGCCCTTAGGCCCCGCCCCTTCCTTTCCTGAAGGACCACCCCTCAGTGGCGTCACAACCCCGTGACGTCTCCCGCGTGACCTCACCGCGGCGGAGCGAGGGGGCGGGAAGGGGGAAGGAGGAAAGGGCTGGCCAGGAGGCGAGGGTCGGCTCCAACCTCCTCCTCGCCGCGTCCCCACCCTCAAGGGGCGGAGTAAACGCCCAGGCTTGTGGGGAGGAGCTCGGGTATCTTTGTCTCCGACTACCCCACCATTTTGCAGGTGAGGAAACTTGAACTCCAGGCAGGGCACGGACTATGGCAAGGTCAAGTAACAAAGTGCACACTCAGGGACCGGCCTTCCCAGCCAGAGGTCTGTCCTTCGCTCTAGAAAGACTTGTTTCTAGAGCCGCTTTCCAAAAGGAGGTTGCCGTAAATCCTTGGTTCCTGGCCACCCTTGAGATGACTACTAGGGTTTTATCGGTTTTATCGGTGCTGTTTGTTATGCAACAGCATCTTGTCTCCAGAAAATAAAAGAGGCCTCAATGCAAACATCAGTCGCAGGTCCAGACAACGCCACCCATTCCGTCAGAACCAGCTCTTTAAAAATACAGGTTTAGGTCATGAGAATTTGGAAAAACTTGTTCTGTCTTTACAATCCAAGGCAAGTGTATATGGTACACTTAACGCGACCAAGATCCCATTTCAAGATCAAAGAATGAGAAAGAAGTTTAGAGACTTTCTAACCCTTCTGTATTTTATTTTGAGGTTTTTGATTTTTGTTTTGGTTTGGTTTGGGTTTTGGTACCAGTGATTGAACCCAAGGGTGCTTAATCACTGAGCCACTGTTTTTTGTTGTTGTTGTTTTTCGTTTTTGTTTTAATTTTGAGACGTCTGGCTAAATTGCTTCAGGCCTCACTAAGTTGCTAAGGCTGGCTTTGAACTTGCGATGTTCCAGAGACTCTCGAATTACAGGTGTGTGCCACCATGCCTGGCTAACAAGTGTTTTTAAAACATCACTTGTTGGCAAATATTGCTATGTCAGGGTTTGCGGGAGAGGAATGAATAAGAAATGATCTGCCTTCAAGTAGCTTTCTGTTTAGTATACAAATATGGCAAGGGAAATCAAGAAAGTTTATATGCCTTTTCCAAAAATACAGTGCAAAAAAACTAGAACCCAGCTGAAGTATGGTTTCTACCAAGGTCAACAAAAGACAGGGCTGAGAGAAGTGACCAATAGTGTCTGGGGTGCCAGGATGCTTAGGAAAGGGAATACATTCTACCTCTTCCATCTCAGTATGAAATAAGTAAAATAAAATAGCTTTGTTCTACTTAGATATGGCAGCTCACACCTGTAATCCCAACAACTTGGAAGGCTGAGGCAGGAGGATCAGAAATTCATGGTCAACCTCAGCAATTTAGTGAGGCACTAAGCTACTTAGTGAGACCTCCATCTTAAAATAAAAAAATAAGAGCTGGGGATATAACTCAGGTGGTAAAGTGCTTGCCTTGCATGCACAAGGCCCTGGGTTCAATCCCCAGCACCACAAAAATAAATAAAAAGGGCTGGTGATTTAGCTCAGTGGTAAAATGCTACTGGGTTTAATCCCCACTACCAAAAAAATAATAATTTTAAAAAATTAAAACTTAGGTTCTCGGTCATGCACTTTTGGGACTTAAATTCTCTTTCTGCCAATTATTGATAACAGTGCCTACCCAAATAGATTGTTGTGCCAATTAAATGAGGCAACAATATATAAATACAATGCTCCATAAGATTGACAACTAGTAAAGTGGTAAACATGAAGAGATGGCTGTGGGTTAGAAAGTGAATCAAAAGCAGAGATTACTTCTTCCCCTGCCCCCCTCCTCTATTTTGTATCCCTTCCCTACCTGTTCATCTATTAAAGTATGAAATATATGCCCTTTCTGTCTTTAGCCTTCCACCCCCGCATATGACTATCTTGTGGGAAACAGACACCTTTAACAGCATATATTAATAAATAAAACTTATAAATTCATACTATAAACATTTATAGTTATTAGCATTTAAAAGAAACTATTCTTGGGCTAAGTGTAGGGGTATATAACTATAATCCCAGCTACTTGGGAAGCTGAGACAAGAGGATTGCAAGTTCAAAGTCAGCTTGTGCAATTTAGCAAGACCCTGTCTCAAAATTAAAAAATTAAAAAGGACTGAGATACACGTCAGTGGTAAAGTCCTTGCTTAGCGAGTACAAGGCCCTGGGTTCAATTGTAACACTGCAAAAAAAAAGGTCTCTAGGAACTGTGGAAGTTTGATTCATTACCACAACATAATTTTGGGGTGGTCACAATTTTGAAACATTTCATTGTTCAGGAAAATTCAGTCATCCACCCAATGTAGGTGAGCATGTATTGTCTCAATCTTATGGATGATGGAATGGAAACAGATCATAAAAATCTTGGTTTTAAAGCTGAAAAGAATGAGACTGCGTAGTCCAACTTCCCCATTTCACAGGGGAAGAAATTGAAACTAAGAGAGGGGAATTGATCATAGCTCTATGAACCAAGATTATAGTTCTAGCAAGGGATTTCCAAACTTCCACTCAAGCACCTCATCTGCTATATCCTCTTATGCTTCCTTTATATGCTGGGTTCAACTTGAACCTTACAAACAATCAGAAATTTTGACCCAAGAACTAATTTGATATTAGACTACAGGCTTCCTAGGAAGCACTCTAACTTGCCATGTCCTTGGATTAAAATTGTGTTGACCAAGGATCTATAGACAGTGTCACTGTATCTGGTAACTCCAATAGAATGCTGATTTAGAGGAAACTGAAAATTCTTAGCCAATCCATGCTGTACTAGGATTTTAGCTCACACTCCAATTGTCCACATAATTCAAAGAAATCCTTGCAAATAGGAGACCTGAATGGGTCAAAATTTTAGTCTACAGAAGGATTATTTCAAAGGGGTAAACTCCTTAAGTGAATGATGAAACTTCGTGGTGAAATTTTGTTTTTCATTAGATTGGAGGTACGACTCTGTCCAAGAATATGTCCCTCTCTATCTTAGTTTGGGATACTACAATAAAACACCACAAAGTGGGTGACTTAGCAAATAATTACTAAACAATACTAATTATTTCTTATAGTTCTGGAAGCTGGAAAGTCCAAGATCAAATTGTTTAGTGAGGACCTACTTTCTCATTAAAAAAAAAAAAAATTACAGACAGGCACCACTGCACCTGTCTGTAATTCCAGCATCTCAGGACCTGAGGCAGGAACACCACAAGTTCGAGGCCAACTTCAGCAATTTGGTGAGGCACTAAGCAACTCAAAAGAGATCCTGTCTCTAAATAAAATACCAAAAAAAGGAGGGGGGAGGGAGGACTGGGGATGTGACTCAGTAAACCACCCTGTGTCAAACTAAAAAAAAAAAAAGGGTTGGGGATGTGGCTCAGTGGTTAAGCACCCCTGGGTTCATTCCCCAGTACCAACAACAACAACATAGTACCTTCTTGCTTTGTCCTCATATGGTGGAAAGGGCACAGCAGCTCTCTGTGCCTTTTTTTTTTTTTAATAAGGGAACTAATCCTGCTCACTAGAGCTCCACCCTCATGACCTAATCACCTCCAACACCCCACCTCCTAACATCATCACATGGGTATTAGGATTCAACATATAAATTTTTGGTATGTAGGGAGGACCACAAATATTCAGACTATAGCACTCCCCTAACCACTATGCTGAAGGTGGCTAGCTTATTAGATATTAGGGAAGAACCCCTCCTTGCAATTAAATGCTTCTAGTGTAGGGATGGGATATGAAAAGGAAGAAATGAGGTGTTACCAAATTAGGAGACCCCCAAATGTGAATTTCCACCTGAGTCTGAGGGATTATTTATAATCCTTAAGGTTCTGCAACTTTGATTGGGTTTTATTGCAAAGAGGGTCAAGAGAAGAACTGGTAGAGAAGGCAAAGAGACAAAATTGCTGGGCACTACCTGCAGAAAGGAAAGCTGACAGCAGTATTCCAAAAGGGCTTCTAGGTACCATGTAGAGCCAGGTCAGAAGCTGCTACTGCCTGGAACATGCATGAGACTAGCATATTCTTGGTATGAATTTCTCGGCTGGTGATCTTATAGGAGAAATTTAAATGGATACCACTGACCCAGACCTGGTTCTTTCTTCTCATTTAGGAGTTGAAAGTCTAGGAGAACAGTGATTCATCTCACCAGGACAGGCTAAATTGCCTCCAAACTTCCAAGTCCTTAAGACTCAGAATTGCCAAGACTAGCTAGAACGGTCTATGGTTATGTCAGAGTGTAACTGATCCAGAGAATATACAGAGTCCAAATAGACTTTAGGGAATGTTATACAATAATAGCAACTTGAAAATAGCTCAGTGGTAGAGTGTCCCTGGGTTCTCCCCAGTATCACAAGAAAAAAAAAATCACTAAGCAGAATTATCTCTGTTGCTATAGAAAGATAATCATGATATTCTTTATTCTTTTTATTCCTTTCTTTTCTTTTTTTTTTTTTGGTACCAGGGATTGAACCCAGAGCTACTTAACCACTGAGCCACATCCCCAGCCCTATTTATTTATGTATTTATTTACTTATTTACTTATTTTTGAGACAGGGTCTCAGTAAGCTGCTTTGGGCCTAAGTTGTTGAAACTGGCCTTGAACTTGAGATCCTCCTGTCTCAGCCTCCCAAGGCACTGAGATTACACATTTACAGGTATGTACCACCCCCCACAATATATTCATTTTTAAGTGATAGAAGATATGACAAAATAATAGTATTATATATGATCCAATTTCTAAGAGACATGCATGAATGAGCTTGAGCAAGACATCTGGAAGAATACACTAGAACCTATAGCAATGATAGTCTCTGGATGTGGAGAATGATTGATGGATATTTTTACAATTTTGCCTGCTT